TGTCATTTCGGGACATTGTCTCAGTTTCTAGTTTTCAGTGTTATGACATTTCGAGCGATTGTCTCAGTTCTTATTATTCGGTATTCTGACATTTCGGGACATTGTCTTAGTTCTTAGTTTTCGGTAATTTTTTTTTCGGTACTTTGCATGTCCACCTTAAAAACACATAAATTTAGAAGTTTAAGAATATAATATAATCCCAAATTTAGGCCAACAAATTATTAACATCGCTTCAACATTGTTGCTTTGACATTGATGTTATGCATTAAATTACAGAAGAAAATTCCTTTGGTATAACTGAATCTTCCGCGAAGATTTTGTTTGAGGACCAGACAAAAACTCAGTGATAAAAGCAAATTTCTATAGACATTTCTAATCTAATCTAATTCTAATCTAATCTAATTTCTAATCTAATATCGCTAAATACTCAGAATATTTTTAATTGCAATAACAGAGAGAAGTCTTGAACAAAATCGTAATTTTCGAAAATTTTTTTCGATCATTTTTATACAAAATCATTTCATTTGTGGAAAAGAATTTTCAAATCAGACAAAGCAATACATACAAAAACATTGTACAAAAATTATTGAGTTTCGTCGATAAACAAATGATCTCTTTAAGAAAATTGTGAGCAAAGTTCAAAATTCCAGACTCTTTTATATCTTTCCCTGACCAGTTTAAATTTCCCTGATTTTTCCAGGTTTTCCCGGTTTTCCAGGTCTGTGGCAACCCTGCTACGAGATTAATAATATTTAACTTTTAATTAACAATATTTAACTTTTAATTGGCAACAATAAAGAATCAATAATAATAAATAATATTTTAATCGACAATAATATCAATGCAAACAATGGTAACGGAATTATAAGCAGAGAATAAAAAAGATCGATAATAACTCATTTACTAGGATTTAATGTTAACATTAATGTGAAGTTTAATTTGAAGAGAACTCGTCTTACCCTGATCAGCATTTGGCCTGATGCGCTGTGAGGGTTGCGATAAGCGTATACACCCCAACCCGCGAGACCCACCACTAAAGCGATGACGGTAAGAATGCCGATTATCCCTGAAACGCCCATATTCACCTTGTTCGAATCTAAAAAGGAAACAAAGTAAAAATTGATATGACAAGTTTAATTGCGAGTTGAATTATCTTCGGACTTCAAGAGAAAAGAGAAATTGTTCGAGCAAATAATGAGTCGATTAACGTTCTTCGAAGTAAGAAGTCGCGGAAATTACGGGGACTAAAGCGTCGTCTACAGACTTAAGATTTAAGAAAATTGACCAATCATACCAGTCGATTATTTATCTCACGTAAAAAAAATTATCGATTGTGATTGGTCAATTTTCTTAAGGATAATTTTCACCACCTGAGGCCTTAAAATAATACCTAAGTTTAGGATTTTTTGTGAGTAAATAGATAACTTTATTTAAAAGCTCTTTAAAGAACATTGTTGTACATATATAAGAAACTAAAAAAATATTTTTTTATTTTTTACGCACAAAATGGCGGCGCAATGGCCTATTTGCAGAATCCATTTTTTCTGTTTTTCCAAATCGGTGTACAGGATTTCAGGCACACGGTTTGCTCTTGAACAAAACACAAAGAATTTTCATTATCTACATATTAAAGACTAGAGATGTGCGTAGGGATTTTTCAAAATATTGATTTTTCTCGAAATGGCAGCTATTTTTACGAAAAGTTCGTATTTTGTCAATATAAATCTTTCATAAAATAGCTACCTTTTTTTGAAAAAAAATTAATATTTTGAAAAATCCCTACGTCTCTAGTCTTTAAAATGTAGATAATGAAAATTCTTTACGTTTTGTTCAAGGCCAAACCGTGTGCCTGGAATCCTGTACACCGATAAAAAAAAAAAGGAATTTCACAAGTGTAGGCCAGTGCGCCGCCATTTTGGACATAAGAAAAATAAAAAAATATTTTTTTGGTTTCTTATATATGTAGAATAATGTCCTTTAAGTAGATTTTTAATGAAGCTTATCCATTTACTCACAAAAAAATCCCAAACTTAAGATATTATCTTAAAATCTTAGAGATGGTGAGACCCCTTAAATCTTAAGTCTTAAGTCTCATTGTAGACGCCGCTTAAGGAGCTTTCAGCACCGGTTTTATAAGACTACTACATCAACGAATCGCATTTTCCGTATAAAATTCGACGCTATCTTGCACAACGTGCGAATCGTGCGAATCTCCATGCATAAAAAAGTTTGTCAAATTTAATTAATAACACAAATTAAATTGAGAGAAGAAGGCCATTTACTTAAAAATATCGCGCGTCACGATAAACAAAATTAATACTTACTAGGACTTTCCAAGGCACTGTTGCCCGACCGTTCTTGCTTCGCGCCCATCTCATTGGTGGCAACCGACTCCTCAGGATGCACGTGACCGTCGTGGTCGTACTGATCACCCCTGTAGACCTGCGCCGGGCAATTGTCTGTATCCTTGATGTTGCGGATGTCGCAGCCCTTCAGCAGCCACTCCTGCCGCTGCCGCGACGTGCCGGTGCTGCATTTGCTCAGCTCCGAGCACCACTTGCAATCGAAGTCCGGCACCTTCGTCAGACAGTCCCGGCAGTTGTCGAAACTGAGGCACGAGGGCAACGCCTTCAGATAGATGACCGTGCAGTTCATTATGTCCTGCCGGTTGAAGTTGACACGGTGGTACTCGTAAATGGTTTTCCGGCGTACGACTGCGAAACGAGATGTGCGAATTGAGTTCTCTGATTGTATCTTCAGATATTTAAGTTTAGATTTGTTGAAACGATAATTCGCAATATGCTTATTAAAGTTACAATTTCGAGAAACTGTGGATTTTAACGTAAGTTCAAAGATATACTCTTGATATTCAAATGAATAACAAAAATAATATCTTGTACGTGATATATTTCACATCTTACATTGCAAAGAGTGACCCAAAAATGGTTTTTTTCGCCCGTTTTTTTGGACCCTTAATTTTTTGGGATTGGACTGTGTGCCAAATGGTACCTTATAATGAAATATTAATCATAGAAAAATTTCAGGTTGAGGTGACAATTGTGATCACAACTGGAAGGGGGTCACATATTGCTAGGGCTGGTGATTTACTTCGAAGGCTTTGATATTCGAGCTTCGAAGCTTCGAAAAGTACATTTGTGCAAATGATAAATTTATTCAGAAAATTTACGAATATTGTAAATAAGAAGAATGAATATACATGCTCAAAATATACGAAATTATTCCTAAAAAATTTAAAAGTATTATAACCTGAAATATTACAAATTAATAATTAAACTTAATACATGTATAAATAAGGAAAGATAACGATTAATAAAACAATCCAATTAAGAAAATTCAAATTTTTAAGGGGGAACACCACTGTGACGAGTTCAAAAAGTCGATTTTTTTTTCATTTTTGTAATGTTTGAGGTCTTAAAAATATGTCCCTAAAATATTATGTTGAACTTCACAATGGAACTATAGTAAATATGTAATAAAATAGCACGTGTTCAGATATATACGCCGGGCCACGTAAAACTTTAAACGCGTTTTTCTCGAAACCACGTTTTTGTAGCTGAGCGCTCGCATATCTCAGCCAATTTTTATCCGAATGACTTGATTTTTGGACAGAATGTTCACAACAAAATTGTCTTC